GGGCTTTATCTATAAGTGCCACCAAGAGAAAATCTGCATTATGCTTGGTAAAGAATATATTGAAAGCCTGATAACAGGTTTTCATTTAGCAGACTCAAATATTTGAACATATAAATTTAATTCAAAAAAAATAATATATATTTTTCTTACAATATTCAACTATAAAAGTAATATATCAAAATAAAGGTTTAAAGTAAAATTATTGTAGCTTTAATATAGCTTTAAATTTTTTTTTAAAAAAATAAAAAACTGTAACAAAAATTAAAACTAAATTTAAAAAAAATCCAAATTTAAATTTGAATTTAAACCCAAATTTAAATATAAAATTTTTTTAAAATTCGAATTAAATATTTGAATCTTCTATTTCTTTAGTCAAAACAGCTTTTGATATAATAAATACCAATTAAAATCTTGATATATAAGATCAAACCAGTTAATATAAAATTTTTTTTATTTAATATAATTTACAAAATTCTTATCATACAAATTTATATTATCCCTTAGTTTGTATACAAATTCAGGGCAAATTTGCTTTAAATTTTTTTAAAAAGTTATAATATATCTATTTTTATTAAAAATAATTTTTTAAAAAAAATTTTTACATTTAATATATTTAAGTTATAATATATAAAAATACTAGTTTTAATTTTTTAAATAATACATAAAATAAAAATTTTATATAATAGTAAAAAAATTATATTTTTAAAAATTTTATAATTTTTTTTAAAAATGTTAAAAATGGTTTAAAAAATTAATACAGTAATTAAAAGTAAAATGCCAGTTCTAGCTACTAAAATAGTTGGTACAACTAAAATATAGTCATAGGAATTTTCATATATGATTTTATAAACTTTATATATATCTTTTTAGGAAATAACTTTTTCTAACTTAGATATAACTTTTTCTAACTTAGGTATAACAGTAAAACTTGTTTTATCTATATTCTATATTTGTGATGTGGCAAAGAAATTTTTATTAATAATTTTTTAAAGTTTTTGAAAATAATCTTTAACAATTACTTGGCTTTTGTATATATGCTACCAATAATTTCTAAGAGATATAAAATAATAATTTTGGGCAATCCCTTATGAATTATATTTACCAATCTTGACCTGGACCATTTTTTCTAAAAGGATGAGATCTTTGATTTAATTGCATAATTTCAATTATACAATAATTAACTTCTGATCTTGTTAAAGCAAATTCAATCTTTTGCATATTAATGCAATAGTCTATATATTAGTTTTTTTCATAGGCTGTCAGAATATTGGATGCACCTAGATGATTACATTAGCAAAATATATAAACGTAAACTTACGTAAGTTATTACACCCAAAATATTGCATAATAATTACAATCAACATAGAATATTTCGCAATTTATTATAAAATATTATGCAATTTATTATGGAATATTACATAATTTATTATGGAATATTACATAGTTTATTATGTAAAATTACACAATTTATTTTAAAATATTTTGAAATATTTTGAAATATTATGAAATATTTTAAAATATTTCAAAATATTTCGAAATAATTTCAAAATAGGATTTTTAAAACAGTACCACGCCTCTATATCATGTAATTGTAATTGTTATATAATGTAAATATTACATTTTTTAATTTATTAAAAATAACTAAAATAAAAAAATTTTATTTATATGTAACAGACATTTTTATTATCATAATAACTATTTTTTTATTATTGTAATGAATATTTTTATTATTATAACAACCATTTTTAACAAATGTTTTTGAATATCAACTCTATCTTATTTAACAACCTAACTTTAACTATTCTAACCAAACGATGTTGCAAACACACCTAACAAAACATTAACAAAATATTATCAGCATAATCACAGTACTAAAAAACCCAAATCTAATCCTAACTAATAATGCTTAACGAAGCATGCAAAATTTTCAAAACAGCGCTACAGATCCATGACACATAAAACCACTATCAACAAATGCACCAACATGACAAGCAAGGAAGAAAGAAAACTAACTCAAAATTGACCAGAAAAATCATACATTTTAAGAAAGTTCAGAAACATCTAAGAGCAAAAAGAAACATTAGTAAAAGTACCCATTTAAAGTACTACATGAAAAATACGAATGAGGTTACAAAAAAAAAAATAACAGAATGAAAAAAAAAACAAATACGCGCCTAAAGCAGAATTCAATACCAATAACAAATACTGAAAGAAAAGGTGCCAAAATGGACGAAACCAACAAAGAAAAATAGACTAACCAAGCATAAGCAAACAAGCCTAAAAAGGACTTAAAGAAAAATAAATATTTTTAGTACAAGAACTAATATACATAAATACTTTGTAAAATGCACAACAAACAAGAGCGATTCCAGTGAATCACGATACCAATGATGCAAGAAACCAAAGAGAAACACCGTACTTAATGATAACAATGATATAAAGCACCAACAAATAAAAAAAACACTAAACAGAACAACACCAATGACGCAAAGCACCAACTAGTGAAAAAAGTACCAACAACGCAAAGCACCAACTAGATGACACCAACAATGCAAGAAAAGGCACCAACTGACAAAAAAAAAAAGACACCAGCTAACAAAAGAAGAACCGAATAGATGACACCAACAATAAATCTACTATCTTCAAAAAGAAAAAAAGAAATAATAAAAAATAAATATATATAACAAAAGAAATAATAAAAAAATAAATATATAACAAAAGCAAAAAAAAAAAATTGAATAACTTATCTTTTTATATGTATTAGTCCTGTGTAACTGGTGATGATCACTGCCAGTGATTTGTGAAAATTGATGTAATATATATAATTTAAAATTAGAAAAAAATTTAAAAGGCCTATCAACTCAAAAAATTGCAAAACACTTGAGTGTTGGCACATCTTCTATAAGTTGGGTTCTTGTACATTTTCAAAAATATGGTTGTATTGAAAACTTTTATCACTTTCAAGAAAACCATGTTATGAAAAAAGTTTAAGGAAAGAAAAACTTAACTGGTACTTGTTTGAATTACAATTCAAGATTGGGATATAACATTAGTCTTACAACAATTTGAAGGCCTATACACTGACTTGAATATGTACAAAATGATATATATTTTCAATTTTATAAAAGGCTTTTTTATATTACAGCTATTTTCAAAAAGGTGTGAATGGTCGCAGATCATTATATCATGGAGAATTCACTATATTTTCTAGATTTTCAAAGTTTTCAAGACTTGCTCTAATCAGGAGGTTTAATTTTTACTAATTTAAATTTCCAAATTTTTTGATTTTCCACATAGACTCTTGGAATGTGCTAAATTCAACCATTTAAAACCAAACTTGATAGTTAGAAACTTTTGAAAAACTATAAAATTTAAAATTCTTTAGCTTTCATAATATGGCAAATTGGGTCTGAATGGTTTTGCTTTCGTATATGAAATTGTTGTTCACATATTTTTAAAAATAGCTGTAATAGCTTCTAATTTAGGTTCTTTCATATTAATAATATCCAATTTAGGATTTTTTTCACTGTTAATTTCTGAATTAGTTGCGTTCACTTCAGACAATCAAATAACTCAAAAGTATTTGTCATAGAAGATAAAGATTCTTTAATTGTTAGATCTACTATTTCACTTTGATTGTGTTGATTAATATATTTTCGACAAATATTAATTAAGTTTTGATTTTTTGAAAATTTTTTAATATTAGCACCTATTCGTGTGATATATTTACTATAAAAGTTAATTTAATAAATTTGAAAATATCTTAGAAATAGGCTCAGGAGCATTTTCTACAGTTTTTTAGAACCAAATATTTAAATTAATTTGGGTCATATGAAGAAGTAGCAATCAAGATTGTAAAAGATTCTAATAAGAATAAAGTTCCATTCTTAAATGAGGTATTTTTTTAATTTTAATTTTATTTAAATAATTTAAATATAATAATTTATTTTGTTTTTTTTGTACTTGTTATTAGTTATATTGTGGATGATAACCTATTACATACTAGGTTACTATGTATTTTACATGGCTCTGCTACGTAAAATATATAGCTCCTACTATGTAATTTTTATCAAACGCAAATTTAACTGATAACACGATTATTGAGTATGTATGACATAAGCACCTTAGTTTTTTATATATATAATTGATCATTTTCTAATCACGATACAATTCTTTTTCACTTACTTTTTTTCTTCTTTCTCTATAATTATTATTATTCATATTATTTTTTTTTTAAAAAAAAAAAGAGTTTCATAAAAGCTTCACAATTACCGACACAAGAAGAAATTGATCGATTGCAGCAAGCATTTCTCATTTCAAGTACTGAACAAAATATCTTTTAGCGGCTTCAAGTTGTAAATAGATTCAATAAAAGTTGCAGTATCACCCAGTCTATTGAACTAATCAATTCTATAGAAGAGTTAAAGGATTACCTTTGTAAATTTATCACTTGGCTACAAAAAGAAAACGGCACTGATTACAAAGTTAAATCAGTTCATAATTGTTACAGTACAATTAATCGTTATCTTAAAGAGTACAGTGTCCTTCAGCAATTAAAAATCTGGGATTGATATAAATTTCTATATGCACTATGTACTCTCGATAGCAAAATAAGAATTTTCAAGCCAAGGGGTTGGGTGATCCAAAAAAATCAGATGGATTATCAGTTGAAGAAATCAAACAAATATTGATTACCCATATATGAATACTGATAAAAATGAATCTCTTATTCATTGGGTTATGTCTGTTGTGTGGTCTCCAGGGTGGAGATGCATATCAAATTTGCCGAAAAGATCTTAAACAGTGCTGAAATAGTGGTTTGGAGCTCCTATTACACAAAGAAAAAAATAATCAGAGTGGTGCATTTTACAGAAATAAAATGGTAAAATAGGTATATGACGTATCCCTATTTCTTCAGATTCATTAAACAACTATTACACATATTCTATTGTATTTGTCTAAGTTACCCAATTTAGAAATATTACAAAATCTGTTATTTCATGAAACTTGTATTAGCAAGAAAGATCAACGGAAAGGTAACTAGTACAAAACCAGCTCTATGGAAAATTCAAAACTCAAAAAAATTATGCATGATATTGTTGAAAACACTGAGATTAATCTTAGAAAGGATGGCATATTACAAATCATTCTTGTCACCGTATAGCAATTCAACTTCTAAGAAATAATGAGCTTTCTGAATCGGATCTTTTGGCTTTTTCTAGCTATTGTTCCCGTGAAAGCTTAGCTGATTATTGTCAGCTTAGTGAATATTAGCGAATTAATAATACTGCAATACTGATTCCTTTTTTGCTATATGAATCAAATTTAGATGAGTATGATAATTATAAAAGTATGTGTTAATTCTATTTCTGTTAGTTTAAACAATTTAAAAAATTTTATTCTAATTAAAATTTTTTTTTTCATTACATATATTTTGACAAGGCTCACCCGTAATAGAGAAATATCAAGAAGGTATATACAGTTAAATTATTCTTTTACTTATTCAAAAACTTTATTTTAATAAGATTTTTTTTTATACATTTATACCTAAAGGTTTAACTGAAGTAACCGAGGCCTTGAAAGTAGCTGAAATGAACCCAAAAGTAACTAAAGATCCAAAATTAGCTAAAGTAGTTAAAAATCATCAAAAAGGTATGTATTATTAATTATGCATTTGCCCAGTTAAGACAATTCAAAAGAAAATTTTTTTTAATTAAAATTTTTATATATTTTAATAGCGAAGCTAATCTCTAAGCCAAAATCTTATGACAAAAAAAATGCATCAGTAATGGCCCCTTTCAAACTACCTGTTAAACCTAATTCTCCACTTTTCAATTCATATGGCAAGAAAAAAAGAAGTCTCTCTGACATCAGTAATAACATTATTATTAAACTTCCCACAAGTATTTTGCCACAGACTTACAATTTGAACATTAATTTAAAACTTTCATAGATTTATTTTCTTTAATAACTGTTCAAATTTGCTTAAATTAGGCTAAAATTTGCTTACTGTATTTTTATTTGCAATGTAATTGAAATTTGAATATTGTATATATACAAAGTGTTCAAAATTTGTATATCAAGTATATATGAAGTGTTCAAAATTTGTGTATCGAGTAATTTGAAAATGATTAATAATATACATGAAAAAGTCCAGGTGCGCATATAAGACATACACAATAATTTTTAGTTAAAAGCTTGTTATAGCTTAGGACAATATCTAGGAATATCAAGAAATGAAAAAACAGATGATTATATTTTGGTAATGAGTTATGTAAAACATGGATTATAAACAAAAATCTTGGTAATATCTTTAAGTTTGAATAAAAAAATAAATTAAAAATACTTCATAATATTATGTCTAATCTTCATCATATTCATGATAAAAGATATTTACATCAAGATTTATATCTGGAAAATATCTGGAGCCTTTTTTATATTTTTTGTCAAGTTTTATTAGTTAACAAGAACAATCTTTTCTATAAACTTTCACACAAGTTAAACATGCTAAACATATTGGGTAAGAGTTTAAACGAAATTTTAATAATTTTGACATTATAATAATAAAATTATTTGTATGTAGAACAGATATTATATTTATTATAGTAATTTTTGAAATTGAAAATGTAATTTAAATGTATATAAATATTATATCAATATTATAGTAAATAAAAATTGAATGAATTCAAAAATATATTTAATTTATAACAAAGATATTATATCAATATTACAGTAAATTAAAATTAAATGAATTCAAAAATATATTTTTTATATATCAATCATGCTGAAAAAATTACTGGCCAAAAATTTTTTTTGGCTAATTTTTTATAGGTGTCCTAGAAATAATAAAAACAGTGGGTTGGCGGGTCATAGGTGATATGAAAATCGAAAATATAACCTATTTGCATGTATTCGAGATATTTCAAAATTTTTACTTAATATAAAAAAACCGTAATATTACATAAGAAATTTCAAAATATTCTGAAATAACTTAAGTAATAGAATTTTTTAATTTTTTGCAAGTGCAATACATTGCTCCCCCTAAAAAAATTAGGGTTAGTGTTAGAGTTAGTATTAGGGTTAGTGTTAGGGTTAGTATTAGGGTTAGGGTTAGAGAGTTAAGTAAAATTGCGAGAGGAGTATTTTTACTTAGTTACACGACAAGAGATTACCCTAGTAAAATTTTGAGATATAGCAAATTTTAGATAAAGTTACGATTAGTTAGGGTTAGAGTTTAAGGGTTAAAGTTTAAGGGTTAGGGTTAGGGTTTAGGGTTAGGGTTAGGTAAAATCGTGTAACAATCATTTTTTGTTAGTCACATGCAGGTTATCCTAGTAAAATTTTGAGATATAGCTAGGGGTGCAATAAAAAATAAAATCCTTTATATTGATTAAAATTATCTGAATTACAAAATAAATAAAATTAAATATTATAATTCATATATAAATAAAAAAATAAATAGTGTATAGGTTATTTGTTTGCAGACTAAACAAAACACTCTTGTTTAAATACTGAGCTATCAAATAGTAATTATAAGCCTATTAAGTCTTATAATATATATTAGGCAGAGGCCCTAGTTGCTATTGTAACAATTTTTTGTATGACTAAGTATACATGTACAAATAATTTAGATAATTGTTCTATCAACACAAAAAAAAACTAGTACTAGCAAGAATTAGAGATGATATATATCTGGTTTTGGTTAAAAAAAAATTATTTATAGGCAATGCTATAGGTGACAATAATATAGACAATAATAGTATAGATGATAGTATAGACAATAGTTTACTGGTAAAGTTAAACTTTTTCCTTTTCTAACTTATATTCTTTATTATAGTATAACATCTTTTTAGACTATTCTCAAGTATCTAAATCAATTAATTAAAATTACCTGAACTACAAAATAAATTAAGATTAAATATTATAATTCATGTATAAATAAAAAAATATAGTGTATAGGTTATTTGTTTGCAGACTAAACAAAATATTCTTGTTTAAGAGGAGTAGCAGTGATCTATGATGGTATCACAAGAGGGCTAAATTTGAACTGGGGCCTGAGATCAGAGAACCGAGCGACCAGATCCTAATGGTGGAGGACACACCAGCCAAACTGCCAGGTTGTTGTACCAGAGGAAAAGGACATATGCTCTGAAAATATGTACCAAGAGGAGGGCATCTTTCAGGCATCTAAAGCCTAAACAGACTGACTCATCCGAGTTGCCGGCTAGAAGTAAGGGAGAGACCGATAAAGAATCCGGGTAAGAAGACGGTCTAATTGCAGGTACCAGGATTGTTGTGAATCTATACAAGGGCAGAAGTAGGTAATGACAGGGGTTCAATGGTTAGCCCTAACCCAAGTACATGGGTTAAGCTATGGCAAGATGTTACTGAAGTCTGGGTGAGTACATGGTAGGACATGTATCCTAGCATGGTTAGACACTGGCTTCGCTAAGGTCGATGCAAATTTCACAAAATGTGGTGCCGCTATTGCATCTAGGTGCTAAATTAGTAATCGAGTGAGATCAAGTATATAGAAAGAATTAGTCATATGTATTACGGCACCTGTCATTTGGAAATAGTTCTCATACGCTATTTGTCGACAGGCCTAGAGTTTATCACTTACCAATATGTAATTTGTATGAATTATACTCCTAATAAAATACATGGCAAGATAGCCAAAGTTAAAAAAAAATATATATATATATATCCTTGTTTAAGTACTGAGCTATCAAATAGTAATTATGAGCCCATTAAGTCTCATAAGATATATTAGTTTGAGGCTCTAGTTGCTATTGCAATAATTTTTTGTATAACTAAATATATATATATAAATAACTTAGATAATTGTTCTATCAACACAATAAAATCTAGCACTAGCAAGAATTAGAGATAATATATATCTAGTTTTGGTCAAAAAAAAATCATTTCTAGGTGATACTATAGATAATGATAATATAGACAATAATAGTATAGACAATGGTATAGGCAATGGTTTATTGGTAAAGTTAAACTTTTTTCTTTTTCAACTTATATTCTTTATTATAGCGTGACATCTTTTTAGGCCATTTTTAAGCATTTAAATCAATTGATTAAAGAATGATCATGATAATACTCAATCATCACAATCAATGGTATTATGGTATTTATTAATACCCTATGTACTTGTAGCACCAGGGTTGGTTAAAGTATGTGGTGATCAAATATTGTAATTGGGGTTAGTATAAATAGCGTAACATGATTTAATTAAAAGTTTAATTGGTAATTGTATAAACAATATAATAATCAGAAGTGATTAGTGTTGTATATATAATGTAATAATTATTACCAATAAGAATATTTGTAATAATAAGTGATACAAATAGTAATTAATAAAAGGCATTAACCCAAATAGGAGAATGGCCTAACTTTTATTCTAGGAATTACCTTGACATTTAGTAAATAAACTATTGTATTCATGTGAATACATTATTGGTAATAGTATTTAGTATGATACTCCAGTCATCATTTAAAAGCCAAGCGAGTAAAAATTGATAGCAAAAGTCTATGAATACAAGATAGACTAATTAACTATATGACAAATGGCGATATTTATAAAATTAAATACTTGAGTATACTCTTTTTCTATTTTTCTTGATCTTCGTTATATCGCCTAAAATGTCTAAAAAAATCCAATAAGAAAAATTCTGTTCAATCAACTGTTAAATCTTTAGCTTCGGTATGTTGGTTTTTCCTTTTAATGATTTTACCAATATTAACCTTTTGTTGCAACAGCAACAATTTATAAAATATTAGCAAAAGTTGCTTTGCAGCAACAAAAAGTAAAAAAAAATTTATTAAGTTTATATGAATGAAAAATAGAATAGCAATATTTATTACAGCTTGGTTAAATATTAAAAAATAGATTGTATTAATTATGTTTATATCAAGATATTGATAATTTGTTTTAAAAGCTTCAAGCATTAAAAATAAAGTGGCTATTTTTTTAGACTGGTTTGAAATTTGTTATGAATTTATTGTTTATTATGTTTGATATGTCAAAGTAATACTTGAGTAATCTTTATTAATAATAAATTTTTGAAGAAAAAAGATAAGTTGAATTTTGTTGATTTGTTAATCAAATTGGTAACTCACTTGATTGATTTATTTAGCTGCAAAGATTTTGGGCGAATTCACTATATTATCTACAAAATATATAAGGCTAGTGTGTCATACATGTTTATTGCTTGTTATCAGTTTAATTTAGACCTAAAGAAGCAGCTACATATAGTATGAAAAAAAATCTTGCAGTAATTAGCTAAAATAAATTTTTAATACAAAATATTCTGGAAATCTGCTATATCATAATCATAAAATTTCTAGTATTGAAAAAATTTACCAGTTTTATTAGATATATATATTTTTTTTCGGTGTTAAGTGAGGTTATGCCTCATGACTTTATTATAAGTATATATATTTTGTATATATATTATGTGATACAATTATTATATACTATTATTAAGTATATTATGGCTCAGACAGGTTTTGACTACTATCTGTGACCTAAACCTACCAGAGAATTCCATATTCCACTTATGTACAACCTGGATTTTTTAACTACTATATCTGATTTGTACACATAACTCCCTTTTATATTCACTGCATCTTTCATATTTACAACATGCAACTCCCTCTTTTGGTATCTCGTAGAAGGCCTCATAATCTAACGGTTAATCCCAAATTAGTCAAACTGCTTTGCTTCCCTAATTCAAGCTTTTTATCCAGCTACTATAGTTCTGCATTATGTGTTAATACCATGTAGAGCTTATACTTAACAAGGTATAGTTTTGCAGATAAAGTGGCACTACAGCTGTTCCACAAAGTTATAGCCTAGTTAACATTATATATATAATATATGCATTGCTAATTCTTGATAACAGGTACTCCTGTAGTTGGTAGGTAGTGAGAGTAAGAGAA